ATATGGCGACCACCGAGACCATCGAGGATTTGGTAGGTTACTGAATTCATGGAAAAGAGCATGTTGACACCGGAGAAGGGCCGATTAGAGAGTCTACTGCAGGGATCCTCATCGAATGTGGAGTCTCTGGTAAGGGGGGAGGGACGATACGATGCCATAAGTATCCTAACGAGGGTGTCTCCACTGAGTATATACTATGCGTCCACAAGCTCGTTGGACGCACTTAGGTGTCTTCGTTGGGATGGGTGTATAATCATCAATACAGTGTTGATCTCAGCTCACTTCGAACCCTGAGTGTCTGGCACTGCAGCATAGATTGTCAAAGTCCAAGACCAGCGGTCAGGTGGGAGCTACGGTAGTATAGTGGACAGTAGAGGTGATAGTAGGTATTGGCGCTGGTCGCTGATGAGCTGGAGAGAATGGACGGCATTAACCTCGCAACAGCGTTGCATCGTGTTGCGAAACATTCGAAGTCATATCAAGTCTCCCAAGTCGCTACTGATCCACGGTGAGGCTCTGGGGTGTCGATTGATGGTAGATCGGCTCAGTGCATGTTGCTATCACTATAGTAGCAGCCCGTGGATCTATATAGAGCGTATTTGATCTGATAGCAGCATGCGGTGTAGAATCTTATGGGATTATGTAGCATCGCTATGATTCGATCGGTGTAGGCTACTCGAGTAAGGGCGCCTTTTTACCGCGGTTAATCGGTATACCAACTTTCTGTCACTTCACGCTGTGGGGGCAGTATGATAGGGCTATGATTATTATTGTTGTTGCCTTGCGTCGTCGTATAGCGTATAAAGTCGATCCGCAGATACACTGCCTTGGTTGACCGCTTGGGTGCGTACTTGAACTCCTTGGACGGTGTCGGCCTCATGAATACGCTCTGGGCATTGGTACGGCTGAATGCAGGTGGGAGATGTTCTATGTGTTGGAAGTGTTATGGTACTGTCAGCGGCACCCAAGTGGATATCAGAGCTGCTGGATCGATGCATTAGCAGTGTAGACCAACTGGAGCCCAAGCAACTTGGTAATGGTCGGCTTCGGGCTGGTTACCTGGGTGTGGGGTTGTGAAATCGTGATTCGTAGATCCAGAAATATATGTTCGCTCTCTTCAGTTGAGTCTAGCAGAAGTTTCCTCACCAATTATAGAGGTCTATACATGATTCCCGTCTAAACTTCCAGAAACCAATGACAATTTCCCAAAATTTCCTCATAATCTTCGCACTGTCACCAGCATAAGTGGTTGACCATATGCATATTTTCCCACACTGCATAGATCTGTGCTTTTCCCATTTTGAGAAGCGATCCGGGTTCGATCCTCACGGGGCGGTATAGCATGGGTTTCAGGTCAAGGACTGTACTGCGTGTATAGGATGTCGAAGCACGCTGCTCCGACTGAGGCGGTGAAGGCCCTCCAGTCAGCTCTTCATGGCCAGGTCCGGGCCTCACTGGATCATTTTAGTGACAGCCATGAGCTTGTTAGTGTGTGTGAGTAGCTTGGCCGTAGTTGATCAGCTTACAGCAGCGTTAGGCACGTCGTTGGCTAAGTTGGGCATTCGTGATGAGACTGTCTTCTCGGCACTGGGCTCGCGATTATCCGACAAGATGGATGATTTTGATATGGAGGTACGTCAGTTTTGAAAGAGGCTTCAGACGGGTTCTTATTGTCAGGATATTGCCGCGGTATCTTGGGCGTTTGCTAGGGCTAAGTTTACAGATAGAGAGCTGTTCCGGAAAATAAGGGAGTCTCTTACGGTAATGGGGTGGGCGTGCATGCTGATACCAACTTTTCGCCAACTTCAGGTGAGGACTACTGAGTGCTCTGTGAAGTCTTTGGTGTCGTTGACGTGGAGCTTGTCGAAGCTTGGGGAAACTGGTGGTGAGGAGGACCTGTTCCGATATACCCTAGCACCAACAATTCGATCGTAAGTTCTGTGCGCCATCTTCACTGCGCCACAAAATTTTTAACATGCCTAGGTGTTATCAGGTACATGCTGGAGTACACCGTACAGGACCTATGTGCTCTAGCGTGGAGCTTTGCTAATGCGAATGTCCATGATGTGGACTTTATGAGCGACATTGCGCACGCCCTGATGCCCAAGACTAGAGACATGAACTGCCAGGTTGGACTTACTTCATATAATCATCACCTCCTGAGTATGCTCAGGACGTCTGCTCGGCTGTGGTGGCCTTGGCATCTCTGCATTACTCTCATAAGGAGCTGTAGGACCTAGGGAGAGGGGCTCAGGATGGAATTGAGACTCTGAAATTTATCACTTTGAGAACTAACAAAGGAAGATGTTGTAGCTCTTTAACGTGAAATGGTGTAGAGGAATTGGTGGCTTTTTTATACGTGTACCCTAGGGTGCATGCATGCTTGGTCGTAGGTTCGAGGCTCTGAAGCAACAGTCTTTCCGGCTTATGCATACCTTTACTCCGCTACAGCTGAGTCGGACCTTATATGGCTTTGGAGTGGCCGGGGTGAGGGATAAGAAGCTGTAGGAAGGTTGGGTGGCTGGGGGGTCATGAATGGCTTGCTAGGTTCTATGAGATGACGCTTACTAGTATAGACAAGCTTCACCTGATGTACGCAAAGAACGTGTGCGATGTAGGGGATTTCATACCGTAATTCGTTCGAATCGTACTTCATCGAGATACTATCAGCATTGATGGAGGCTGAGTACCTCATTCCCGGGCTGACGCGGCCGTTGCTGGACCATCTCAGTCGACAGCTTGATCGACTCGGCCCGACAGAATGTGTACAATTATTGACGGTAATTGGGCGGAGCGAAGTTATCTGTGTATGAGGTCTCATGCTTTTTGGATGGTACCTTTTCGTACTGTTATCATCATCAGGTCGTGGCTCATGTAGAGCCGAGTGAACAGAGGTCCAGCCTAGGGGAGGCGGTGGCAGAGCAACTGAGTAATCTTCACTGTGCGCTGGTGAAGGGTGACGTATCTTGTGCTAGGACCTAAAATGAAGACTACAGTGCGATGGATCCCTAGTGGTCCGGAGATAGCTGACGTGTTGCAGTCCTTTGTATTGCTAGAGTAATACTCAGTTGGTAGCGATGCTCGCATGATTATCCAAAGGCGTGGTATCTCTCTTCCCTGTGTTGTCCCTTTGCATATGAGCTCGTGAGCAACATTGATCGTAGAGGATCGTGTGGATATAGTAGAGATGGCTTTGATGTATGTGTATTAGCATTGGTA